TATATATATATATTTGTTCGCTGGGCTGTAAGAGAAGCCCCCTCCCTCATCCTAGTTAGGCTTCGGATGGGCTGTTTTCCAACCCGTGCATTCAAATCACCTGCCAGCACTATAATATCAGAGCTGCACCTCAACCGAATGAGTTGACGAGTTCGTCGGAAAATTCATCCCTTTTAGAAGTGGGATTGCAGTTGCATATGCGAAAATGACGAACAAACACTTTTCGGTGTTGCTGCTCTTTCGAACACTAACTGAAACCTGGAGAGTTATGGCGCACAAACGACTATTGAGAATCCAATCTATCAGCTTTATTGTTTAGTACGATTCCCACATCTCGTTGATTCAGTGTGCGACCTGTATTGTCTCTTGATAATCGAAGGAAGTACCTCGACAACAGACCCGGTACACTCAGGTGAATTATAATACTAGAATCCCGAAATTGTCTACGATACGCTACAGGCATCAACTCCTAAAGGCTTCATTGTACGCGCAAGACAGCTTGTTGAAGTACCTGTCATAGTCTAACCCTTGAAGGCCTCCAGATCAAGAGATTGACAAGGCTTCAGTATCTGCACTTTGTCTACGGGTACTATTTGGCAACGACCTTTGACGAGAGACGAACAAGTTGGGTGATGTGATGATAAGGATTGGACGAGGCAAAACGAGACGGCTGAGTATGGAAAACAGTTTAACAGGTTGCGGCGTCCGAGCAGTAGCCCACTTATCCCTACGGACCCCCCTTGATGGTACGGGCAGCGCGGTCCACATGTGTTACGGAATTAGTCTTAGTTTGTGTATGCAGTGTGATGGACGGGCACTGCTAGGGTGTCCAATCACTAAGTAGGACGATTAGGGTTCTCAACCAAAATCTTCCTAGTTCTGACAAGAACCTACCCGCAAGGCAGCGAGGCCCAATAATTTGGACCAAATATACCTCCAACACAGTCTACCGATTGAGAAGCCAACTATACCTGGAGACTGCACTTTGTCTGACCTAAACCCACTGACCTTCCAGGCATGATTGGATCTCTGGCTCAACAGAGCCAACCTGTGTAGATAGTTGGGTCACAGAGTTGCACGAATCATTCATCGTGATGGTGCTCATGAATCTACGCGTCATTCTTGTAACCCGTCTATATGATATCCCTGCATTTTTGGTTTTCCTTTTATTATCAAAATCTTCATTCTGCTCTTTTGCAAAACGGGCAACCGAAACAACCGCATGGTGGCAAAAACTGACACGGATCCGATATTAAAGCGACAAAGATCACCCCCGGACGTGTTCGAATCGCATTACCACTGCCGAACTTTCCTCATCCTGTGCATCATAAGATACTGACTGGTCACTTGTCCTCACTTAAAATTGCATCATTGAAAAAGCAAAAAAATTAAAAACAAAAGATGAAGACAATTCTTTCGTGATGGGCACAGCGATAGCAACTTTTCGAGACCCATCAAGTGTAGTAAGGAAACGTTGAGCCAGACCGTGTGGTGCAGAAGCTCAAATCAGATGACGGTTGTAATCATTTCGCGAGACCGAGTGAGGGATTTTCATGATACAGATTGTTTGAGAAACATTTACCGCAAACTGAACTGTGATCGAAATGAAAATGACTAGGGCACTACGGTATTACTTGACTCGAGATAAATATTCTATCCTTTCCCAAACAACTTCAAAATAGAAATTTCCTATCCAAAGGTTTACGTGCCTCATCCTTTGTTGTATACTCCAGTTGATATACTGGCCTGCTGAAGTACGTATTCACCGTAATCGTCACGGAGTATTGTCATCGACACAGCGAGCGCTCGCGTTTAGTTTACCCCGCTCAGGAGCATAACATATTTGACCAGCGACACCGATATGCTGTAGAAACATAACATCCGTGATCACCAACGATTAACCTGTCAGGCGAGTTGCTTTTCAATTATTCGTTGTATCTTCACAGGATAAAAATGGTCGCTGGACTGCGGATTGCAGAAGCCACCTGGAACATTGGTGTAGTAAATAGATGCAATTGAGAACCACTTTTACAGGCTTTGAGGGGTATCGAGACATGAATTGTACATCATGTCATACCACAAGCTTGCCAAAGAAAATCGGGGTCAGATAAGCACAAGTTCACCTCATACCGTGCCAGCACCTAGAAACAACAGCAACTAAATGCATGTCTCTCGGGTTATTTTCATAATAGGAAATCTTCGCTATCAATTTTTAGCATCTGTACTACTAAGACAAGCGAGCATCGGCAATCGCGAGAAAACTTCCAGGATCAGATCAGACATGTAAATTCTCAAGGGTGAATTTTCTAATCATCGTAAATTGCCGAGCTCAATACATTGATTTGGCACAATATGAAGCTCATCACCATGCGTATCATTACTCTGACCCACTATGCCGACGGAGTTAGACTTCCGTTACCAGAATACTATCCTCAACCGACTGCTGTTAGGACGGAGTTCAGGTAACCCGTCAGATCACACACGCATCCCAGTCAGACTGAGCGCGATGGGATCGATCAATCATGTCAAGGTTGCAACTTGACGTGGGCGTCTCGGGCAGTTTTCCGTATGCGTATTGAAATATATCCGCAAGAATAAATGCTGACTTTGTCTTCAGCTGTGTTCTCTCGCTGCGTCGTTGTTAAGCAAGTATCCCTCGTGTTACCCATAAGTCCAGATCGAACGCAACAACTGCGGTCTCTCTAGTTTATCCACCCCCCCCCCCTTTGGTTTTGTTTTCAATAAACCGACGAGGGGAAAATCAGTAAAGCTATGATAAGAAGCAAACCTTGGTTAACATCGGCACCTAGACAAAAACCGATGCAGTAGCCAAGGGGCGGAAAAAAGAAGCCGACTGGCGTCTTCAATCAATATATTTCCATCAGAAACAAACACTCGTCGTCAATCTAACTTCAAACTTTCGCCGCAGGATGACAGCACCGCCAGGCGCATATCTCGAACAAAATAAGAAAGTCACCGCTTCAAGCAACTGGATCTTAAGCATCTGAGAACTGGTATTGATTAGGCCCGTTTTGCAAAGCAGGAAGCCAGAACGTCACAAGTTCTTGTGGGACTTGTCGCACAATACTAGTAGAAAATGGAAGATCTAGAAATCACGTTTCCAAAAAACGCCCAAGCAGTCGTTATAATGAGTTCGATCAGTACTGATTGACCACAATTCGACTGCGCAGCCCTGCTGAGAACGAGGAGTGCGCATACGCAGCTGGGACAGGCACATCGGGAATCATACTTCATGTTTACTGTCGACTGGTTAGGTTGGTTCTCGTTAACTGAAACCAAAAGTGTGGCATGATGGACACAGTGCACCATTTGATCCACAAAAGTTGCGTTTAGGGGATTTGTATGAACCGGTTACCGGCAGGATGTGGGTGAGGTAGCAGGGTCGATGGAGAATGGATGTGGTGATGGGAATAAATGACTAGTGATCCTAATACGAGCGTCTTCAATTTCAAAATTGCCTAAAGCAAGCACCAATGTGCTTGGAAAAGTAGCATAAAGCAGTTTAAATGGGGAGGGAGCACTGAGCGTAAATGTTCAGCATTGGAAACCACAAAAATAGTCGAAGACATTTTTGGTGGTACCATAAAATGGACAGGGATATGACAGAACAACACATGCAGGTAATGCATCTCAATGGGACTTCTGTACACACAACTCTGACCTAGGAAATACGACCTACGCACGTGATTTGTGAGCATGGCACATGTGCCGTGAAAAGGATGAAAAAGCAAGGGATCGTTTTTCATGATGATAATGTGAAAATCGATGAGGACTGAATGGATGAGCATGATCCGCAATATCTAAAAGTGCAGCTAGCTACTATCACAGAGCCTATAGTCGTTTCGTTCAGCACTTTGAAGAATGCGTGGGGAATCGCAGAAATGAAATGAAGCAAATTGTGAACCCGCGTGAACTGTGTTCAAAATCAAAGTACGATGCGGAACAAACGAAGAACGGCACTAATGCGTGGGGCAACACTAAGAGAATCTAGGTTGAAAGGATCGGAAGAAAGCATGACAATAGGAAGGGATACATTTCATAGACCGACTTTTTTGGGTTTTCCATATGAACAATTTTGTAACTTTTTATGCGATTAAACGGCGTTTCAGCGTGTGAAGCATGGAAACGAACGCGGGGCCCTGTGCACACAACGCGCATCGTCACGATCGTGCTATCCGGTCCAACTCCGTTTATTAGGAACACAACTCGCAAGTTGA